AGCAGGGAACCCTGAAGACAGGGTCGTTTCTGGAGAATATACGGCAAGGCGTGTCCTGTTCGCAATACCTCCATCAACTGGAATGCCTTCCGGAAAAGGAGAACAGTGAAAGGAAATAGCCACGGAACTGCTGGGTTACATTCTTCACTGCTTGCCCTCCCCCCCCCTCCCCCATCAGCTATGTGAACATTGGGAAACCCTTCATTAGGTTTAATATTTTGATGATGAGGATGGTGAGGGGCATCAGTTTGACCACTGGGCCGCTTTTGCCTGGGTATATGGAACAAGCAACGAAGATGGCAAGTGACGCCCCGTACCATCTACTGGTCAAACACCGAGTCTGTTCCGGACAGAGCCAGCTTTTCCATCTCTCCAGAGTAATCGGCAGTCTACTCTGGGAACAAAGTTACTCGCACATCGGTTGGCCCCAGAAATCGTTCTAGGGTCAGATCATGCTCAGGGTACTACTACAATTCCGAACGGCACTAGGACAAGTGGGGAGTATATTTCCTTATAGACTATGAAGCCGGCTTCCGAGAAGACTTCCATTTTCGCATCCTACAATTTTTAGCTCATTATAACCCATTTTCAGTGAAAATTCCGAAGGGCTTATATTCTTGGTGGATGTTTGATGTTCATGTGGCTATCTACACATGGTCTGCTGTTATATCGGCGTCGTAGTGAGTATCGTGCTCTCAACGAGAAATTGCCTCCAATCCCCTGGGAAGAATTTCGTTGACAAATACCTCTTGCCCAATGAGGTCAGTACTTTTTCCGTCATCGCAGGCCGCTTTCATACCCTGCCATTGTGAAGAACGTGCTATCAGGGAGAGTACGCGATAAGGAACTGAAAAGAAGTTGGTTGATTCCACCTCCTGGCATATCCTTCAAATGGAGCGTTTCCTTTGTCGAGCATTTATTTTTTTATTCGCTCGAAGACTAATACTTTCCAGGGTCAAAGACGAGAGGCACAGTTCGGCGACCGGGAGGGGGGGGGGGCATTTTGCACTTTGCTACTAACCAGAGAGCTATTTCATGAGCTCACAAGGGTTGACAGGTTTTATCATGGTAGCTCGACGAGCCTACTCTAGCTTAACAAGAGTTCACAGGTTTTACCAGAGTGAAACCTGAAAACCGGAACTAGTGTAGCAGTAGTGCAAAATGCTCAGTGGTAGTCACATCTCGAGATTCTTTTTGACTAAGCTCTTAAAACCATTTAGGGAAGGATGTGGAATAAGGGTTATAGGCTTAAAGGCACGGTCCGCGATCAGGTATCGAAGTTGAAAATATGGCGTCAGGAGGTTAGAGTGGTCCGCGACGAACAACCTTGTACCGGTTTCGCGGCAAAAAATTCTATGGGAGGGGCGCTGTAGCGCAATATAGGTTCAGTCCTCCTTTTTTCCAGTGACTCCGCCTCCAGACTCCGCCCCTAATGACCGACAGTGAAAAATGAGATTGCAGGACGAAAAAGCATGATAATCGCCACTTGTACGATCGTAGAAATCTTATCGGTGAATCAGCCGTGCATATGAGGGCGTAGTTTTGGAGATAGAGTTGATTGGGCACGTACAAACTGGGATCGAAATGGGGTTCTATCTAGGGCAGCATCATGTTTTGTGCTTTTTTGTTCACATTAGTCAACCCCTTGTCGTCTATATGGAACCCCCTAATCCACCATCTGAGATGGCGAGTAATCGCGGGTTCTTCCTTCAAAGTAGAGGAACCTTCTGCAGAATCGCAGACTTTGAACACGCTAGTGTGTGAGGCAGTGGACTCCCATATAGTTTCCTCTGTTGCCGATTCTCCGAAATCGCAGTTCGTTCGGTGCAGTCTTCACATTCGCAAAGTATGAACACGGCTGTAACGATCCTTTTTATGACAACTATTCGAAAAAGCTATTTTGTTAGGATATTTATGGGTGAAGAGCGGAATATCACTTTTCGAAATTCAAATCACCAGAGCGATTGTGAAGATTGTGTGATGTAGATGAATTGCACAAAGCACTTCATAGAGGCGTCACATCTACCACTGTCTCCCACTTGATTTGGGCAATTGAAAGGGCTAAATTTGGAGAAAGCGTTTCAGGACTAGCTTGTGAACGTTGGAAGCGTCCCTGCTTGCGGGATCTTTTGGGCGCGTTATTCTCTCTCAATATTGATATGCAAAGGGTTACTAGCGCTGACAGTATCGCAAGCATAAAGCATAAGTCAAATTAGTTTTAAAGTCGTAGACTAATTTTGAAAGTCAATATTTAGGTGAAAACTATCATCTATCAACCACAGTTTGAAGTTGGCAACGTGTACCTCCATTCTGCCACTGAGCAGTTGATGAAGAAAGCTTTTCTGAACGTGGTTAGTTTCGTCGCTCTAAGTTTCTTGATTTTTACAACAACAACAATTTCAAAGTTTTCTTCAAAAAGAAAGAAAACATTATGTTCAGCTTTGGGTTAACCTTGGCATAGAATGAGCATGACTCACACACCTCCGATATGGAAAGGGTGCGTCCAGGTGTTAAATTAAAAACACGGAAGCAGCTGTGTATTTGTGGACAGTTACCGGTTGTGCCTTCCTCTCTTATGCACTCTCTGCCTAACATGAACACCCTTTGTGTAGCGCTGCTCCGCTGTGCACAAAGCGAACTGGACACACCCTTTCCATCTCGCTAGGTTTCGAACTGTAGCTTGAGTCCGCTGGACTGCTCCCGAGATCGACAAATAACAAACGTTGGCTCTGTTTCTGCGAGATCGCTCTCTTTGATTGCGATCGAAGTCTTTCGAAGAAGTTTGGGTGACAAGTTGATGGGAGGGGGGGGGGAGGATTTCCTTTCGAAATACACCTGTTCGCTTTCTCTGAGCGGCATTTTTAGGACTTAAGGCAATAATAGTGAAGTGAGGCGGGATTCGTTCTGCCACTCCTTCAGCTAGTCATTCTGTTGACCTTTTCAGCTCCATGCTGCTCCAGACAAATTTTCTCGTCCGCCAGATGTTCGATTTTTTTTCCAAGGTGATAGCGCAGATGTTGAGAAAGGCTATATTAGAGCTCCAGAAAGCCACACATGATTCACCCACACCTTTAAAAGCAGTCGAATTTGAGGTGGACCAGTTTCCTAGCTACAGGTATGCTTTTGTGAGATGCTCTCCGAGAAACATTACTGCGTCTCACTTTTCAACCTCATTATTTTCAGAGAGTTGGCTTTCATCATCATTAGCACATTATTCACCTTTGCTGTTGTTGCTATGGTGAAGTGATTTGATGGTACTTATGGATTGGTTCACGCGTTTTGCAATTTCGTGTCAGTACTTATTTGGTACTCATTCCGTTGGAGTTGGGTTGCGCGCTGGGGCATCTGGAGGGCTACTATGAAGGAACTCGAGGTGAGTAGGGCGAAAATGGGGTTGAAGGACAAGGTTACTCTACAATTGCGCTAGGAGTCGTCTTAATGCACCCTTCTCTCCAGCCGACTGCTCGTGCTTTTTAGTTGGCACACGAATCTTTTCTGCTGTATTTGAAGAATAAGCTGCAATTTCGAACTTGACTAGCAAGCGCACTGTATTCGCGGGGACTTTGTGAGCACTTATTTGTCCCATTTAAAAGAAGGAAGACAAAATATCATTCCCGATGCTCTGCTATGGTTCCCCTCTTTATCGCATGTCACTTCAGAGGGGCGAACCTCGGCTGCGGGAAGGAATTTCGCACTTTCGCTGCTTCCCTTTGTCGTGTCGAGCTATCAAGTAGAGATTTGGAAATTTTGTGAAGCCGATGCCAGTCAGGGGTTACTTGTCTACCCTCGTAAATAACCCATGTCAGGTCTTGTAAAGCGATGAACACGACAACGGGAAGCAGCGGAAGCGCAACCCCCCCCCCCCCGAACTGCGCTCTTCAACGATTCCACCATAGTGCATCGTGCATTCACCTGCTCATTTGGGTGCTGATTTTTTATAGAGGATTTCTGCCGATTTCCAGATTTTTTTAAGATTACATGTTTCGCAGAAGCGCGATTCAGTCCAGGCAGACGCGAGTCGAAACCAACGGTTAAGTCGCAGTGCTCGTTCAGTCAGTTCTATGACTGCTTGTGTTAGTTTTCTTGTCCTTTGAGTTGATAGGTTGGACATTTATTGAAATGACCTAATGGTCGTATTCGGAGGTTTAAATGGTGTTCACAGTCTCTTAACTAGTCTCATTTTGTTGGCTGCCTTGTCTCCGCAGTTCGCTATACAAGAATTATCACAAGGAGGCTGAGTCAGCGGTTTATTATCAAAAGCTGTTAGATGTGCCAAGGTTTAGTTTTGCGGTCCAGCGCCCTCATCAACTAAACGGCTCATGACGTTGTGCGCCCAAGTGCTGATAGGTTTTCTTAAGCCCACGGTTGGGAAATCTCTGACGCGCAGAAATCAGGCAGAGTTCACACTCCGCAGTGACGCGCGACGTTGCGCTGTGATGCGCTGTAACGCGCGTCGACGCTCTATAATTGCAACAGCGCTCCAAAGGTATAAACGCGAAGGCAGCCGCAAACGGCTATCGATTCTCATCTGCGAACGTCTCGTTCGGTGGGCTCCGGGCGCTTGTGTTCCGAGAGAGTATAGGGGTATGATGGTACTGTTGTCTAGTCATGCAGACTGGTATCGATCGGGACTGGTCGTCTGCAGCTACGTTCTGTGGTCGCGTCTGTGGCTTTGGAGCGCTGTTGCTATTGTAGCGCGTCTACGCGCGTTACAATGCATTGCAGTGTATCGTCGCGCGTCACAGCGCGTTATCGCATCGACACGCATCATCGCGAACTATGGAGGCTGCCTGAGCTAGTATTTTCTAGCTGGTTTTGTCGACATATGGCAGTACTTACATACAGTCGAGCTGGGAATGCGGTGCGCGAGGCAACAATTACAATGTCGTTTTAGCCGCGTCGCCGCAAGAGAGTGACTTACTGTTACGTACATACCCCAGTTTGATGGCTTCTATACCTTCAAGGCCACGGCGCAAAAGTCGTCAAGTTGAGACGGTCGAATGTGCCTCCGTGGCCAAAACGCATAAGCGCCTCGCCTGGCAGGCGTGACATGCGAGTTCAAGTTTTGTTTGAGGTTTAGTTGGTCACCCGTAGCCCAGGCTTCTTGTGTAATTCGATAGGCGGGTAACTAGTTAGTTGGCATAGTTTTAATGTTCAGTGCTTATCCAGTTATATGGTAGCTCTAGTGAAATGATTATTAAATCATTGATTTCTATGATATAAGTGTGATTTTGGATGCGTGTATCAGGCAGCGGTCCTACTTCGCGAGGACGCGCTGTAACGTGTGTCGACGCGCTACCGTGGCAACTGCGCTCCAATGCTAGGCGAGAACGCATCCATTGCGTCCGCGCTTGTGTGTTGAGAGAGTATAGGACATTATTAGAGTAGCCTTCACGCAGTCTGCTACCCTCCTATCCTTCAGTACTCTCCCAAAACACTAGCCACCGGCGTCGATCGATACTAGACTGTGTGCACGTCCTTCTATCATCCTATACGTCGACGGATCATTAGTCCTCCGATCAAGTACTCGTCTACGGCTGCGTTCTCGTCTGAAGCCAAAGCGCCGTCTGTTGGAGCGTCGATGGTAGCGCGCTACAACGCGTTACAGCGCGTCGACGCGAAGTGTGAGCGTGCATCGTGCTTTCCTTTTCGGGGCGCTCGTTCTAAAGTTCCCATTCCACTACAGGATATGAGAACACCAGTGATATTATTCTCTTTCTCCGCCTATACGCTCACCACGGAATGTGCACTCTGATAAGATATATTTCTAAGTGTGTTGTACATTTTGACGGTAGTTTTGCAATATTGTTAATATGTTTCAGAAAGTTGATATGTTATTGTTAATCTGATAACTATATGAAGCTCTTTAGTCCTGTTACTTGTGTAAAAATCTTCAACCATTTACATTCCTACAGGAAGAAAATATTCTTGTTGTTAGTACTCCACCTCATGGTGGAGCTATCACATAGAACCATTCAGAAGGAACTTAAGCGCAGTTCTGAGACGAGGGGAGTGGCATTTTGCACTTTTGATACTTCCCATCGACGAGGGGACCCATAAACAGCCTCTTGACGACTTAACAGGTTTGACCATGACGGCTTGACGAGCTTGCTTCAGCTCCACGAGAGTTTACAGGTTTCACCAGAGTGAGATGTGTAAGTCGGAACTAGTGAAGCAATGGAAGTGCGGAAACCTCCCCCCCTCCCCGTCGCCGCGTCGGAACTATAATATAGTCATAGGTTCGGCCAGCAAAGCGAGATGTAACAATCCTCTAATCATTCGGAATTTTTGTAGAGCAGCACCTCTTTTATCGTTGGGTTGTTCATGGCATCCAATGCAAACTAGAAGACGACAGCCTTGCTCGCTATTGAGAATGGGCGTCTCAGTGCGGCTGCGTTTGGCGGGACGCTAAACCCGTTTCCCATCACTTTTGAGCCGAGGAGGCGGCAAAACTGTATCAGGTCGTTCATATGGTCGTTTTCCACCAATTGTTGCTATTTACCGGCTTCAACAGCTGGTGGAAAACAGTTTGGCGCCGCGCAACACAGCCGCACTGACACGCCCCATCGTTCTGAGCAAACGCGGGACCGTATCTTACCCATTCTAGACACGCCGCAGCCAATATTTGACCACCATTGGGTTGAATTGGGTCCCAGTGTGAATGACCGCCTCTTACCGCCTTCGTCGCGACTATGCAGAACTACGCCATTCACTCAGGAGCTCTGTAAGGAGAAAGCGTGGATTGGAGCACAGCTAACGCGGCTTTTTTCCACCAATCGTGCCGTCCTAAGTCCTCGGCACTTGGTGGAAAGAGCTACTCTGGTTGCGCTGCAGTCCACGCTCCTTCACACGTCCTCTCATTTGCTGAGATAAGGACTGAAGATGTATGGTAGACGAATTGACGAGGGAAATCGAAGCAATCTCTTGATGGCTGGCTCCTCTATGTCATCACCTCATGCACCAAATGATCTTACGATCCTAAAATTATCACCCGCTTATTGACATCCCTGGAGCCTCCAGAAAAACACGAGCCTTATTTCGTCTACGAAGTGCCTTTACAACGATAAGGGGACACTCTTGGAGGTCACTCGTCGTTATAAAACACCTCATTAGCAGGAAAGCCATCTGGTATCCTGGAGAATATTCCTCTTGCGAGTTTCTGTGGTTGCGCCATTTCGCAGAGTTATGAGGTTGTTCACTCACTCCTGGTTGAGCTCTGAGTGGCCAGAGGAGCACGGCTCATTTTTCACTTCTATTTTTTCCTGTCAGACATGATCGTTCTCTCGTGTGGGCTGTAGTGATCCGATTACATTTCTTCTGTGGGCGCCGATCGAGGCAACTGTTCAGTTCTGTTTTGTGTCCTCTGCTTTATCACCGTGGCTCTTACGAAATTTGATGCAAATCGCTCGTTACTTTTTTCTTTTGATTTTTTTCTCAGCTGGGTCTCACACTCCGATTTCCGGTTGTCATTTATTAGATTCAGGTCGATCGGCAGAAACTTCCTAGGGTATCCTGGCTAGTTAAGCTCGTCATACTGGATCACTGTCGACTTCGAAGGCAAACTGTGCACTTACTTCCGAGGACGGTTTCTTTTATGTGCGAGCAAAATGGGCCCACAGCTGCAGTAGCCTGCCACTTTCTCCGCTCAAAAATCACGGGAACGTTGCACTAGGGTAATGATACCCGGGTGCCGACTCTGTGCCGAGATTATGGCCGCGGGGTCCTCAGGGTGCAGTACTCGCGTTAATTCCAAGATCCCGCCGCGAACACGCAGGCAAATATAAAAACCGAGGGAGCAGACAAGGGAGCGTTTGGCAGTGGTTGGCATGTGGGTAGCGTGTGATGGAGGGGGTTAAAAGGACGGTCCGCGATAAAAGCCTAGCTGATTTTGCAGAAATGTGGAAGAAAATTCGCCAAGTGAACCATCTATGAAGAGAAAATGCCAAAGGGAACGTTGGAAACGCATTCGTCAGGCCTCCTCTAGCCTCAAACAACTGTAGAGGTAAAAGACCGCGGGACAACCAACGTCTGCTGATTCCAGTAATAAAGTGTATGACT